AAGAATTTTGTGGGAGACATGTTTTTTCTCTGTTTGGAGGTGGATGCTTGACGAGGTGATTGGCGGTGGTGGTAGTGGGTTTGCTGGTGGCCGTGGTGATTTTTATGGGGGAAAAAATAATTTTGGGGAAGAAAGTAATTTTCTCTCTCCTCTTCTTCTTTTTCTTTTTTTTTTTCGTGTTATTTTTCTTTATTTAAGAAATTTTAAAAATTGCAATTTGATCCAAAGTTTTGTGTTATTTATATTTAAATCAAATAGGATTTTCCTTTTCTTTTTAAAAAAAATCAGAGGGTATTTTCGATTTTTCAAGTAAAAAAACACACTCCTAGACGCACAATTCGCGCGTGCATTATACGGTGAGTTGTTAAGGTTTTTTTTGGCTTTGACTTATTATCATAGGGGGGTCTTTGCTAATTATTTTAACACGATGGGGTTTTTAGCAATTAGAGATTACACAGGGGTAGATTTTGCAAAAAACCCAATAGAAAAAACCTAATGTACCATCTTAAATTAGGGTAAATGACAAATAGGCTCAGAATAAGAGCACTTAATTAAAAAATGGGTCATTACAAATAAGCCCATCAATGGGTACTTATTCATAAAGAGATCCAGACAAAAAACTTCTTTACCAATAAGTCACACATGGTCCAGATTTTTGTAAATGACTAAAATAACCCCTCATACTCTAATATGCTCCAATTTCATCCTTAACTTAATTTAACCTCAATTTGACCTCAAATTTCACAAATTATTCAATTTTGACCCAAAACTTATTTTTTTCAATTTTTTTTCCCGCCGGATTCCGGGGTTGACTTTTGAATTTTTTTTCTTTTTCTTCCAGATTTTTTCGCCGGTTTCCGGCCTTGACTTTTTCGATTGTTTTTTTCTTTTCTTTCTTTCTGTAACTTTTTTTTTTCGTTTATTCAGCAATATTGATGTGATCGACAGTAATATTAACTATATTACTTTTCAACACAGTAAAATTAACTAAACTACAGTTTAACACAGTAATATGTTATATTAAAATCTAGCACAGTAATATTAACCCAACAAAACTCATTATTATTGTGGAATAGAGTAATATTACTATGTTGACCGTTCAACAAATGTAAACATAATAAAAAGCCAAAAGAATTAATATTACTGTGAGTGACAGTAATATTACTATAACAACAGTAATATTACCGTCAACCACATTAATATTACAATAATAGACAATAATATTATTACGTTACTCCGTGAATAACTCAAACAAACAAAAAAAATCCAAACAAAATAAAAATATTGATGTGGTTGACAGCAATATTACTATAACAACAGTCATATTACCGTCAACCACAATAATATTATTGTGTGTACAGTAATATTACAATAATAGACAGTAATATTATTACGTTACTCCGTGAATAATTCAAACAAAACAAAAAACCAACAAAATAATAATATTGATGTTGTTGACAGTAATATTATTGTTTTTACAGTTATTTTACTGTCCACGACAGTAATATAATTACGTTGACTTGTCAACAAATCAAACAAAATAAAAAAAAATAATAAAAAATAAAAAATAATAATATTACGTTAATTTACTGTCATCGACAGAACAATTACATAAATGTATTGTCAACGACACTACAATTACGTTAATTAACTGTCATTGACAGTATAATTACGTTAATTTACTGTCAGTGACGGCACAATTACGGTCAACGTTTAGCGGCATACGTAAAAAAAAAAAGCAAACAAAAAAAAAACTTAAAAAAACACTAAAAAAAGTCAACGCCGGAGACCGCCGGTCAACGCCGGAAACCGGCGAAAAAATCCGGAAGAAAAGAAAAGAAAAAAGAAAAAAAAAGTCAACGTCAGAGAATGGCGTTGACCGCCAGAAACCTGCGAAAAATCCGAAAGATAAAAAAAAAATTAAAAAGTCAACGCAGGAGACCGGCGAAAAAAAAAAATTGGGTCAAAATTGAATAAATTGTGAAATTTGGGGTCAAATTGAGGTTAACTTAAGTTAATGATGAAATTGGAACATATTAAAGTATGTTTCAATTTTGAAAAGTCAACGCCGGAATCCGGCGGCAAATTTTTGTTTTTGAAAAAAAAAAGTCAAAATTGAATTTTTGTGGTCAAAATTGGATTTTTGTAGACAAAATTGATTAAATTGAGGTTACAATGAAGAATTGGGTATAAAGGGTTGAGGGTAATATTGGCATATACATGAATGTTTCATTTATTTATAATAAATATTAAAAGGATTGGCTTATTGGTCAAAGAGATATAGCCCTAAACCCAGTGTTCTAAAAATCGGCCGAGGCGGCCGATTAATCGGTCTCCGAGGCGGAGGCGGTCCAAAACCTTTACGATTTTAGTGTAAAGGTTTGAAAAATCGGTTTTTTGCCTGTGAGGCGGTTTTAGGCGGTTTGAGGCGGTCAAACCTTTAAGGCGGGTCAAACTCGGTGGCAAAAATCGGTCAAAAATCGGGTTTTTTTTTTTTTTTTTTTTTTTTTTTTTTTTTTTTTTTTATAATTCAAAATAAAAGTTGGATTTTAATAAAAGAAAATATGAGTTTATGCCTTATTTTGTTTATGTTAATTGTTATTGTTAAAGAACTAATGATGTATGCCACGAATGTTCAAGAATAAATGTAAATTCAAAAAAAATTGTTTTTTTATTTATATTTTATAAGGATATTTATGTATTATCATCTTATGATTATTAAACTTTTATTATGTTATTAGGATATATACATGATGGAGATATAACTATGTTTAAATATATTTTTATATATGTTTAAAGTATTTATAAATAATATTTAGAAATATATTATATTAAATTTTAAAAACCGATTTATTTCCGATTTATCACCGATTAATCACCGCCGCGCCGATTAATCGTGAGTCGGTGCCTGACCGACTCGGACCCGATTACCGATTTTTACAACCTTGCCTAAACCTAGAATAATAAAGATGCTTAGTGGGGGACTTATGCACAAAAACCCCATTAAAAAAATGGACAATCAACTTTTTTGTCTTGCAAATAAGTTCACATCATTCAAACTTATTTGCAAATAAAAAAAACCCTTTTATATATACCAAAATTATCTCCAACTCCTTGAAACCCTAATTTAAGTCTAATTTCATGATTTACACCCCAATTAAGCCAAATTTCACCAGTTAACCAATTTTGACCCTTATTCCCATTTCGATCCTAATTTTCACCGCCACCGCCGGAAATCGCCGGTCTCAGGTGTTGACTTTTTTTTTTCTGATTTATTTTTCCGTCAGGTCAACCGCCGGTCTCTGGCGTTAACTTTTTTTTTTTTTTTTTCCGTACAAAAATATATTTTAATAAATATTACTGTTTAACCTGCAATATTACTGTCTGCGACGGTAATATTATTGTCTAAGATAGTGATTTTACTGTATTAATTAATTTTATCGTCTTGGTCTGCAATTTTACTGTTATTGCTTATGTCTAAGAAGAAAGAATTTCATATGTTTATTTCACCACAAAAATGTAACATAAAATAAGTGCAAATAGACTATCACATTATTGGACAAAACTTAAAAAAAAAAAAAAATCTTTTGTTGAGAATTGCGGCAGCAAAAGCAGAGAGAAATGCACTCAAAGATGCTACAATTTTTACTTAAGAATAATAATATGGAAAAGAAGACAGACAATGATAATACTATATTCCTTTATATAATCTACTTCATTTGTTGAACCTGAAGATACAAATAAATCTTGTAAATTGAACAATCAACGATCAAATCTTGGTAAATGTTGTGGACATAATTAATTATCATCACACAATCACACAAACATTTGCACATGCTAATTATGATTGTTAAAATATTTGTAATGGCTATTTCAATTTATTGATTTGAACTTATAAGGTTAATTATGTAATTTATATAAAATACGATGCGTGTGTACGGTGGAGTACGATGTGTTTTTACTGTGTTTGTACATTAATTTTAAAAATCCCTACTGGCGTACTAGGTCGTACTAGATTGTACTTAAAATCAATGGATGAGATTAAAATTTATTTATTTTGTACGCACCAGATTAAATATGTTATGGTCCGAGTAGTACAATCATCTCGGACCCTAGACAATCCCTTTTAAACTAAAGTTGCAGACAAAACGATCGCATCATTTTATTTTTCTATTGTCCATGAATTTCATACTACATATAAAATATGTATTTTATTTATATATGTTTTATAGGTCAATATAAAAATATACATTCATTTTATATATTATCCCACCTTGTGCCAAATTGTTCAAAATGTTTATTATTAAAACTGGCAAATAATTCAACTTTATGTCACACGGTCACACCCACTCTCTCTATCTATAATTTAAATCTTTACATCATATATGACATATATATCATCATTTTATGTCATGCTATTAATTATGTTTTGCACCACTTATTTAATATTTAAATATATCCAGTGGTAGTGCACCTATATAATTGTCCGGGTTCCTTTATTCCTTTATTATATATTTTTTCATTGATTCATTGTTAGAATGGAAAAAGATACAGATTTTGTTCCTCAAGTTTGCACCGATTTCATATTTGATCCCCATATTCACAAATAACACATTTGATCTCTTATGTTGCAAAAAATCAATATTTTTAGTCATTTTCATCAGTTTTCCGTTAAAACTAACGGAATCAAGCGTGTGCCCATCACTGCCTTAACTAACTTTAGACTAACGCTAAATTAACGGAAAATACCGAACATATGCCAAGCTTGTTTGGAAGTGCTAGCAACAACAATGATTGATGTAATGGTGGGATCAACATATGCTATTAATGCGTTTCGGATGAGCTGATCGCTCTTTGGCGAAACTTGATTTTGTATAGAGGGTTTGGTGTTTGTTGAGTGTTTATGGTTATTGAGAGACTACCAGAAGAGACTGTTGCACAATAGACAACCTGAAAATATTGTCTGAAGCACATTGCTACTGCAAGTCTATCGATTTCCGTTGTTCCTTATTTTTCATTTTTTTAACCAGCAACCATGTAGTGTTTCTTTTATGCAGATTTTTAATTGACACCATCATATACAATGTCGGAGCCAACATAATCGCTATTATCTTACATACAAATTTAAAGAAACTAAAACTTTAAATAATATTTCTCGGTTTCAAGACGATGGTGGAGTGTTTCGACATCCGGGTAGCAAACTGCCCGTTATTCTCAGCGGTATCGATCTTCGACTGACCAAGAGGAGGAAAAAGCTCGAAATTCTGCACAAGCCTACCTAAAGTGATGCCCAGAACAGGCATTGCCATCATAATCCCCGGGCAGCTCCTCCGCCCAACTCCAAACGGAATATACTTAATGTCATTCCCATTAACTTCGACACTCGACTCCTCTTCCAAAAATCTTTCGGGCCTGAATTCTTCGGGCTTTTTCCATAGGGCCGGGTCGTTGGCTAGCCACCATGCGTTGACGAAGATCCTACTCTCTGCAGGGATTTCGTAGCCACCGAGATTGGCCTTGTCGAGGTTCATGTGTGGGACCAAACAAGGAACCACCATTCTTAGGCGAAGGGTTTCTTTTATCACAGCTTGGAGGTACGGGAGTTTGTGAGTGTCGGGCTCTGTCACTTGCTTATTCGGGCCTAGCACTGCGTCCAGCTCGGCCCGAAGTTTGTTTTGGATCTCCGGGTTGTTGATCAGTTCCGCTACGGCCCATTCCAGTGTCCAAATAACAGTCTCTATTGCTGCTCAAATATATACAAACATCATAAAACCGATGTCGAAATATGTTGTAATTTAAATATATTTAAAGAAACAAATTAAAATAGTAGAAAATGATGTATAATGAATACATACCGGCAACATTCATGTTCTCTACAATATAGAGAACATTGTCTTCATTGATCTCTCCGTTCGCTTGACATTCTAGAAAATGATCGATGCCGCATTTGAGGCGATTTTTGTCAAATGCCTCCGTCGATGCAATCTTCCTACACATGAAATTAAAGTTGAAATCACACAAGTCCTAATTTCATGGAGAATAGATCTATTCATAAATGTTCATAAATAATTATTCATTTTACGATACATCCTCCCACACATGTGTGTGACATTAATTATGTGTAGATCTAGAGTAAAAATACGAAGTCAATATTCCTATAAACAACATGAATTTTTTTAAAAAGATAGGGTAAATTACAACCACCCTGAGGTGTGGTCAAATTACAAAAATCCCCTACTGCATGTTTGGGTTATTACAATCATCCCTCAACTATAAACCCTTGCGGTTTCAAATTTAGGGGAATCTTCTTGATTATGTGGAAAATTATCATTTTTGTACCCGTTTTATCTCATTCGAGCTCCACATTTTGAAGCAAGATGATCATAAAATATATTTTTTGGTTTGTATATATCAGATTGTCGTGCATCGGTAACTGTATTTTTACACAAAACGAGTACAAACTAGAGCACATTCCACGGAATCTAGATGATTATGTTGAATTTGACACCATAAAGGTGGAGATGTAAGAAGATTCATAGTTGAGGGGTAGATGTAATTATTCAAATAAGAGAAGTTTTTTCGTAATTTGACCATATCTCAGGGGTGGTTGTAATTTACCCAAAAAGAAATAAGAGAAAAGAGAAGTAGACTTACTTCCTCACTTCAACAAAAGAGTCCTTGTACAAGTTCAATCTTCTCCTAGTAACCTCCTTGCATTTATTCAAGTAGCCTCTCAAAAAAGGCCTAAAAATCGGTACAAAATCACCAAAATTGTACTCAAGACTCTGCCCCAATCTACTCCTCTCACCATTCACATTCTTGAGCTTTACGTACAACGGATCTTCTTCGCTCTCGAATTTTTTATCGAACATGATCTTGTACACATTGTTATAAACCATGAGCTCAATCCGCCGCCTCAGCACCACCCCTTCCATTGAAGCCGCTGGAGTATTCCTCATATCCTCCACCACCGCCTCCGCCTCCGCCTCCCAGTCGCCGTGGTACTGGTGGACCACCTTGTTGGTGAAGAAGGGCACGGTCACGATCCGCCGCATCTTCCGCCAGTGGTCGCCGTAGTCGGTGAAGATCATGTCCTGCCCTTTGCCGGTGAAGATGTCGAAGACGATGTTTCTCGAGCGGGAGCCGAACTCTTTCCCCTGAGTGAGGAGGACCTCCTTTGCGAGCTCCGGCGAGGATACGACGGCGATGCGGCGTTGGCCCATTCGGAGGAGGAAGACATGGCCAAATTTCTGGGCGTATCTGATGAAGTCGTGGTGGTCTAAGTTGTTTCCCACTTGAAACCAGCTACCGAATATCGGTAAGGTGATGGGGCCTGGCGGCATATTCCGGCGTCTGCCGCGGATCTTGGATACCACTACGGCGGCGACAGCGGCGGCGATGAGGCTGAGGAAGACTTTTTGGAGGAGGAGAAAATTCATTGTATGGGAAGATGACAAGTGAGTTGGAAATGGTGGTGGGTGAAGTTGTACGTTCTACATGTAACTTATTAATACGAGGATGATAATTATTTTGAACCCTTTGGCAAAGTTCACATTTGTAACCATGAATTATGGGATGTGTTGCATACAAACCCCTTAATTAAGAAACGTACCAAATACCCTCTATATTTTCTGGTCAAACTTACAAAAATGCAAAGACATTTGTTTTGTAATGTTTTTTTTTTTTTGCAATTAATCTTACACCCAACTATAGTTTATGCGAAATATATGTGAAATTCATTACTTATAAATATTTCAGCAAAAAAAAGAAAAAAAAAAAATACAAGGTCATTATCATTTTCCTTTTTTTCAAGATAGCTCATCTTGCAAACAGTACTTGGATGACTATTTAAGAAATTGTTAAGCTCTTAATTTGATATTGTATAAACTTAAGCATATCTTTTTTAGGTTATAATGGCAGATCATTTTTTTTAATAATTAAAATTCATTATGAAGGTCTGTTTAGGGAGTTTGAATATGTTTGTGCTTTCATTTATATTGAGTGAGATGTTTACCCTGGTTTGATGTCCTATTTTGAGATACTTCGTTTAATAAAAAAATCAGGTATCCATGGTTATGATTGGTATATGAAATTGAGCTCATGATAACAACTAGAGCTGAACATTATAGTGAAGTTAAGAGAAAAAAAGAGCAAAAATAACTAATTTCAAATTAAAAAATGTGGAAACACTATAGGTAAAAAAATAAGACACATAAGCTGTGAACCCTTACATAATAGGGGTAAAAAGGTCCCAAAGAAAAACAATAAGAAAGTCAATAGGTGATATCAGCATATTCAAATGGGTTACGTAGAAACATAAGGGGGTATTTGATATGTTTCGTAATTGAGATGTGCATTTGCAACACACCCCATAATTCAGGGGTGCAAAGTGAACTTTGCCCTAAAATAGATAACAAAGTCATGGTAATGTCGCAACTACGTAAAAGAGGTGAGATTTATAAAATATAGGGTAAATTAAAATCACCTCTGGGTATGGTTAATTGACAAAAAACCCCTCTTTTTTGGATAATTACATTTACCCCCCTCAACTATGATTTTTTCTTACACCACCACCCTTATGGTGTCAAATTCAACATAATCATCTAGATTTCGTGGATTGTGCTCTAGCTTGTACTCACTTTGTGTAAAAATACAGTTTCTGATGAACCACAATCTGATATATATAAGCCAAAAAACACATATATCGATCATCTTGCTTTAAAATGTGGAGTTCGAATGGGATAAAGCGGGTACAAAAGTTATAATATTCCATATAATCTCAAAGATTTCACTAAATCTGAAACTGTAAAGGTAGATGTGTAAGAAGATTTATAGTTGATGGGCTATTGTAATTACCCAAATAGAAGGGGGTTTTTCGTAATTTGACCATACCTCAGGGTTGTTGTAATTTCCACTAAAATATAAGATATTGGTGGTGGTGTGAAGATATTTTAGTTGACTATTAAGCAAATTTCCCATAAATTAAGGATCGGTAGGTAGTATATAATAGAGATTTATATTGTATTCTTTATTGTACACTTGTACATGTGGGAATATATAATTTCCTTTGACTCTATAATCCGTAAACAATGTAATCAGGGGCGATGAGCTAAAAGATTTTGGTTTTAAGGGTATTGTAATAAGATAAAATAAAATAAGTAAATGTTTTATTTGCATTAACAAGAAATTCCCTGAATCAAATGAGTATTTGTATAAAATATAGTTTTTTCTATAAACAAGATTACAAAACCATAATTCTACATAATCAGCAGTGTTCAAAATATCGGTCGTGGCGGTCGATATATCGGCCGCCATATCGGTGGCGGTCATAAACCTTTACGATATTTGTGTGGCGGTTTTGAAAACCGATTTTTGACGGTAAGGCGGTTTGTGGCGGATCAGTGGCGGGTCAAACCCATATATCGGGTCAAGCTTCGAGTGATATAACGAAAATAGAGTTTTTATTTTTTATTTTTTTCAATTCCAACCCATTATCTCTTTCAATCAAAACCAAACTCATCAACTCCATAAAAGAACCTGGCCTAAACAAAAACACAAAACAATCGACACACCGCGGCCGCATTCTTCTCTATCTCACTGAGTTCGAATTTGAACCTAATGGTGTACAAGTGTTGGAAGGATATGGAGAAGAAGAATCAGAAATCTCAGTAGTGATCTAATGAACATAGTTTATGTTAATTGTTTTTTCTGTTTTGTTTATGTTAATTGTTTTTTTGAAGGACCTAATGAAGTAATGATACATGTTTGCAATGCAAAAGCATAATTTTGAATGCACAAAATTTGCGTTATGTTTGTATTTATTAAGAATCTTTATTGTATTATGATCTTATTATTGTTAAACTTTTGTTGCGTGATTATAATATATAAACGATGGGGAGAGAATCATGTTTAATTAATTTTTTTTACACGTTTTTAAGTATTTACAAATAATATTTAGAAATATGTTACACTGAATCTAAAAATCGATTTATTTCTAATTGAAAAGCAAAATATCTTCAAAGCAAAATAAAAAAGATAAGTTTGTACTTTGAGGATTTCATATTTGTCCCTTAAATTTGTTGTGTGAATGAGAATGCTAATGTTGAAAAAAAACAATTGTTTCGACACTGTTGAATGACCACCTCAACCAAAAGTTAGTGAAATGTATTATTTAATATTAATATCTTCAACATGCCCCTTCAAGTGCCGGCGAATTACATTTGAAGCCGGCACTTAAAATTAACCCCGACTATCCTCAGGTGGAGGGATCCAGTGTAGCCGAGGTGCAAGATTCTTGGGTATGCTTGGTTCGTTGAATGCATGCAGCTCGAAAAATATTAGTGTTGTTGGGATAGTAGACTAGAAGTTTCACTTTTAACTACATAATTTTGTTATTTATAAAAGGGTAAATAACATTTTACCACCTGTACTTTGTCCGTTTTTGTAATTGCCACCTTAACAAAAAAAAAATTGCACGAACACGCCCAAACTCCTTATTTCGAGCCACTTAACCACCAACATGCCGAATAAATAAAACTATGGAAAAAATATGTTGAAAAAAACTACGAAGAAGTCAAAATTAAAATCATATAAAAATGTAAGAAAAAAGTCAATGCCGTAACATGCGATGAACATTGACTGACTTGCAATCGACCGCGACAACATTCAAAATTGGGTTAAAATTGATGAATTGGTGACAACCATCGTAAATTTAGTGCCCTTAAATAAATAACTTTGCAATAAAACTTAGAGTTTCCTTTATTAGTAATAATGTGAAAAGAATAGGTTACTTTGCAAAAATAATAAAAAAAAAATGGGTAAATTACAATCACCCCTAATGTATATGGTAAATTTCTGAGAAAAGTCCTTTTAATTTGTTTGGATAATTACATCTACACCACAACAATGATTTTTTCTTACACCTCCACCCTTATGGTGTCAAATTCAACATAATTATCTAGATTTCGTGGAATGTGTTCTAGTTTGTACTCGTTTTGTGTAAAATACAGTTTCTGATGCACCACAATCTGATACATACAAGCCAAAAAATACATATTATGATCATCTTGCTTCAAAATGTGGAGTTCAAATGGAATAAACGGGTACAAAAGTAATAATATTCCATATAATATCGAAGATTCAACTAAATTTTAAACCGCAAGGGTAGACGTGTAAGAAGATTTATAGTTGAGGAGGTGGTTGTAATTACCCAAACAGGAGGGGCGTTTTCGTAATTTAACTATACATTAGGAGTGGTTGTAATTTATTCTAAAAAAATTAGATGCCCCTCTTTTATTTAATAAGACCTTGTACCAAGTTACCACCTCCGAAATCATTGAGCTATACACATGCATGTGAGCTAGTGTCATTTGCCCTTAATTATAACACTACATGTATGGTAAAGTATATATTCATTGAACATATATTGGTTCGTAGGTGAGACTCTACCATTCTCCCTATTTTAAACTACAGTTGCAGACTAAACGACAACATCATTCTATTTTTCAATTATATTGTCTATGAACGTGAAACTACATATTAAATATGTATTTAATTAATATATGTTTCATAGGTCGATATAAAAATATACATTCATTTTATATATTGGGCAAATGGCAAAAAGGCCCATCACATGGGACTTAAATGCATTTAAGTCCAAAAAAAAAAACAGTCTCTCAATTAAGCCCATCCCCATGTTTTTAGTCTAAAATACCCTCAATAATATAATTCTTAACAATTCCACCCATTATGCTCTAACTTCCTTAATATTACACATTGACCCCGGATTTAAACAAATATATCATATTAACCCCCAAAACTTTTTTTTTTCAGAAAATAATTTTTTTTCTGAAATGTTTTTTTTCCGGCCAGATTCCGGCATTGACTTTTTTTTTTTTTTGAAATTTTTTTTTTCCTGAATTTTTTTCCGGCCGGTCAACCACCGTTGACCGCCGGTCCCCGGCGTTGACTTTTTTTTTTTTTTTTTTTTTTGAAATTGTTTTTTCTTAGAAAAAAATATTTTAATTAATATTACTGTCTTGACTACTAAATTACTGTCTCTGACAGTAATATTACTGTTTGGGACAGTAATATTATGAATATTATTTTTCCGAACAATAATATTATTAATATTATTGTCTAAGACAGTTAAATTACTGTCTCCGACAGTAATTTAACATCCAAGACAGTAATATTAATTAAAATTATTTTTTTTGTAAGGAAAAAAAAAAAAAAAGTCAATTAACAGTTAAATTACTGTCTCCGACAGTTAAATAACTGCTGGAGACAGTAATTTAGCAACGAATACAGTAATATTAATTAAAAATATTTTTTTCAAGAATAAAAAAGTCAATTAACAGTTAAATTACTGTCTCCGACAGTTAAATAACTGCTGGAGACAGTAATTTAGCAACGAATACAGTAATATTAATTAAAAATATTTTTTTAAGAATAAAAAAGTCAATTACAGTTAAATTACTGTCTCCGACAGTTAAATAACTGCTGGAGACAGTAATTTAGCAACGAATACAGTAATATTAATTAAAATATTTTTGAAGAAAAAAAAAACATGCAATTAACAGTTAAATTACTGTTTCCGACAGTTAAATAGCTGTCGGAGACAGTAATTTAGCAGCCAAGACAGTAAAATTAATTAAAATATTTTTTTTAAGAAAAAACAAAATTATTAAAAAAAAAAAAAAAAAGTCAACGCCGGAGACCCGGCGGTCAACGGCCGTTGACCGGCCGGAAAAAATTTTCAGGAAAACAAAAATTCAAAAAAAAAAAAAAAAATAGTCAACGCCGGAGACCGGCGGTCTCCGGCGGTCAACGCCGGAATCCGGCCGGAAAAAAAATATTTCAGAAAAAAAATTTATTTTCTGAAAAAAAAAAGGTTTTGGGGGTTAATGTGATATATTTGTTTAAATCCGGGGTCAATGTGTAATATTTAAGAAGTTAGAGCATAATGGGTGGAATTGATAAGAATTAGGGTTAAAATTGGGGTCAAAATTGAAATTATGGTTAAAATTGGTTAATTGATGAAATTGGGCTAAATTGGGGAGTAAATCATGAAATTGAAGTTGAATTGGGTTTCAATGAATTGGGGGTAATTTTGGTATATATAAAGGAATTTTCCTTATTTGCAAATAAGTTTGAATGGGGTGGATTTATTTGAAAGACAAACTCTTTTAATTAAGTGCTCTTGTCATGGGCTTTTTTGTGATTACCCCTTATATATTATGCCAACTTGTGCCAAATTGTTCAAAAACTAGCAAATAATTCAACTTGTCACCCACTCTGATCTCTATCTATAATTTACATCTTTATATCTTATATGACATATATATCATCATTTTATATTATGCTATCATTATGTTTTGCACAACTTGTTTGATTTTAAATATACCCCATGAGGCCATGACAATGCACCTATATGTTTAACCGCGTGTTCATTTATTAATAGAAAATAAAAATTATATATATATATATATATATATATATATATATATATATATATATATATATAACTGAAATGATTTGTGTAGGTACCTTTTAAATTTGCAGGCACTTTTTTTTTTACCATTCTTTAAAAATCAATAGATAAAAACTCTCACAAACTCTCTCAAGCTTTAAGAGTTCGGTTTCAGATCCCGACCGAGACGACATCGCAGGTAATTTCTCAATTTTTTTAATTGTTTCGTTACGTAGATTATGATTATTGATTTTATTTTTTAAAATAACGCCTCTGGCAGTATTAGCGTGATTCTACGCGAGCACAACGACATTTTTCGTGTAGAACCACACGAGAAGATGAACATTTGTTTGTTTGTTTGTTTATTTTTTAAATTGAATAAATGCGTATTTGTTTAGCAAAATCCAAGAAAATAACTGCCTTAATTTGAAAGGAGATTAATGCCTTAGCAAATTGGCCTTTTTATAAAACTCCATAAGGTCAACTTATTAAATTCACAAGTACAATGTATTATCTCAATTTAAAACTCATTGAATACTATTATAATCTGAAATCTTAAATGTTAGATTAAATTTCAATATGGGGCTCTTTGAGAAAATTCTCTTACTACTTTTTTTAATGGAAGGAGGCCTAAAATATTTTAGTCCATTTGAGAAAAGCCTACACCCATTTTCAGCCATTATATTTTCCAACTTTTTCGCCCGCCACATCATCACTGGGTCACGCGCTCAGCGGTTTTTTTTTTTCCGTTTTTTTTCCCGTCTTTTCTGTATCAGTTTCCTTAATCGACTATGAAGCATCGTCGATTAGCCTTAATCGACTATGCTTCATAGTCCATTAAAGAAATTATTTAATTTTTTTTATTTATTTTTTATTTTTAATTTTTTTTTCTATATCGGGTATATTATCGACTATGATGTGAAGCATAATCGATTAAAAATCTGCTACTAAAAATAACAAATCTCAACTGCGAAAAAAATACAAAATCAACTATATATTACAAAAACAAAAAATATACAAATATTATAAATGATTTATACAATTGGAATCAAAAAACAAAAAGTTAAGAAAAAATAAAAAAAGTTGGAGTCGATCAACCTTTATCGACTGCCAGAGCATAGTCGATTAGCTTAATCGACTGCCAGATCATAGTCAATTAGCTTAATCGACTAAGAACATGTACATAGTCGATTAAGATTTCAGCATGCGCGAAATTATCTACCGGCGCCGTCCTCTGCCTGATCCACTAAAAAACCCAAAATCTACATTCCCATTGTCACCACACTGCCGCCACAACAGACCATCACCACCTTACTTTGACATTATGACGGTTTTTTATTACAAATAAATAAATAAAATCACAACTCGCACCACCAACCAAAGCAGAACCACCACCCATCAAAATCAGATTCCGGCGACAAATCGACAATCTTATCTCTATTCGCCTCCGATGTAGCATTCCTGGCATTCGAATTCAGAATTGCTATCAAAATCATTTATAATGTTTGATGGGTGCTTCATCTTCTTTCTTTCTCCATCTCCCGGCGGCGGCGGCGACAGTGGCGGAGAAGTTACGGAGAAAACAGAGAAAAAAAACAAAGAAGAAGAGAAACGTTGGAGCGTGAAAACGGCGGATGAAAAAAATAAAACTAAGATTAGGGTTTTGAAAGAGTATAATAGACAATTAATGGTAATTTTGGAATTATGAAAATATCACATGAGTGGAATATTAGCTAAGGGGGTTTTCTCTAATTATTATTGGGATGCGGTGTTTTCTTGACTCATTTTCCTAGATGGGGGTTCTTGCTAATTATCCCTTTTAATTCTCTAATTGACTTTTGTTTTTTTTTTTTTCTTAAAAAAATTATTTTAATTAATATTAATGCATTGGCTGCTAAATTACTGTCCAACAGTAAATTTAACTGTCTCAGACAATAATATTAATAATATTACTGTTCGGGAAAATAATATTCATAATATTACTGTCCCAAACAGTATTACTGTCTGAGACAGTAATTTAGTAGTCAAGATAGTAATATTAATTAAAAAAAAAAATTTCTAAGAAAAAAAAATGCAAAAAAAAAAAAAAAAGTCAACGCCGGAGACTGGCGGTCAACGGTGGTTGACCGGCCGGAAAAAAATTCAGGAAAAAATAAAATTTCAAAAGAAAAAAAAAGGTCAACGCCGGAATCTGGTCGGAAAAAACAATTTGGAGAGTTAATGTGATATATTTATTTAAATCCGGGGTCAATGTGTAATATTAAGAAAGTTAGAACATAATGGGCGGAATTGATAAAAATTATATTATAGAGGATATTTTAGACTAAAGACATGGGGATAAGTTTAATTGACATTTGCCCTTTAATAATACCATTTTGATTCATAAACACAAATCTGGAAACAGAAAGAACCCAAATCACGAATTGGGGTTCGTTTATTTGTTGATGCAACACACACTGAAAACATAAATACAAACAACAATATAAATTAAAGTACATATGATCTTCATCTTCACAGCTCGCTCTTAGGAGTTGATGTTTAGTGTTAAACCAGAGCCCTGAAGTTTACTCTTGATCACCTTCTCCATTCTTTCAGCCATGGCGGGAGTAAGATAATTAGCCCAATCCCCAACTTCTCCTTTCCTAAAGTAAGAACTGTTCTTCACTATTCCATTAACAGAATATCCATTCTTGTTCACCTCCAAATTCTTGAGGTTATCGAAGCTGCAAACCCTAGATATTTTCTCCACCAAACCCCGTTCTTCTTCCTCCAGAGAGAAAGGGCACCCCATAAACTCGGCAATCTTCCTTACATGAAGGGCAATATCGTCTTTCAAATCCTCATACTTGAGGAACAACACCTTGTCAGCATTCTTCAAGTGGGCATCCCAGTATCCAATCATATGCTCGCTAAACGGGCCGAACGGATGGACCCCATCGCAAAACATGTCGAAAGCCCCGTCCAACTCAAGCGGGCCGGCATGGTGGTCTTCTTCCCCGAACTTGTTTTGGAGAGAGAAATGGCGGAACGAGATGAACTGGTCCAAAGGGTTTCTGCAGATGTAGATAATCTTGCATTCGGATTTAGAGATGGAACTTGGAAGGGCATCGAAAGGCACGTGGGTCGCAAAGATTCTTGTAGTACTAAATTCTTGATTTTCGAGATCGGGATTTTCTTGATTTAGATAAAGATTTAGCTCGAGAAAAGGGACGACTTTGTGAGGGTTGCTAGTGAGTAGAGGGCTTTGAGTATCGATGTTGGGGTAAATATTGCGATTAGCGAGAGAAAAGGTGAGGGCTTTCAACCAGGTGGTTCCTGATTTAGGAAGTGAGGAAAGTATTAAGTCGGAAGCTTTTGCTTTGAAGTGCTTTTGAGCGGATAAAACTAGTCGGAAAAACGGCAACGGACACCAAAACCCTTGGTATTTGACAAGCCGCCGCCCGTCCCAATTTGTCCGCTGCTCGGATTTTTGGAGCTCATCTTCTTCCATTAAATTTGGGATTTTCGTTTTCCTTTTTTTTTTCTTTCTTTCAGGGAAATGTTGTCTAGCTATTGATTGGATTATTATGTATTAGTATCATGTATCGGCTGTGCGTGGTTGTGGGCTGGCCAAATTTAAATAACAAAGTCATGCCAGCTAATAATGTACCAACTACGTAGAAGAGGTGGGGTTTATTTAATAATAAATAAAATATAAGAAGATAAGATATTTCCCATAAACTAAGGATTTGGAGTTTAAAATAATCTGATTTGTATTGTATTATTGCACGTGGTAATCGATCGATATACGTGGGAATATATAATATCCATGACTCTTTACTCTATAGTCTATACATAATGATGTAGTGGTTCTCTTATTTATTTGTTCTCTACAGATGGACTTTGTAGTATGGGCAATAATTACATAAAGAGAAAAAAATTCATGAATCTAAGGTAAATTTACAGAGAAAACCCTCAAGTATTCATAATTACAAAAACCCCTCCGAATTTTGTTGTCGTCGTACATAGTTTGATCCATTACGGTGTGAATTTTGATAGAATTTTTTTATTTAAAGGAATATTTTGTAAAAAGAGGTTTTAGTTTAATTTACACTTAGGGGTAATTAACGTAATAATATTATTTAATGAGAGGGTTAATTAATATATATATATATATATATATATATATATATATATATATATATATATATATATATATATATATATATATATATATATATATATATATATATATATATATATATATATATATATATATATATATATATATATATATATATATATATATAAATATAT